GCGGCTAACAAATGTCCATAGCACCAGCTCCAGGGAATCCGACACCCTCTTCTGGCCTCCACGGGTTTTTGTAAGATTGATTTTTATTTTATGTGTACGAGTGTTTTGCCTGCATGTATGTACATCATGTGCAGGCAGTGCCCGTGGAGACCAGAAGAGGGCACTGAATCCCCTGGAACTGAAGATACGGACAGTTATTAGCTGCCATGTGGGTACTGGGAACTGAACCCAGATCCTCTGCAAGAGCAGCCAGTGCTCTTAATCTCTGAGCCATCTCTCCAGCCCCTGTGTACAGGATTCTTGATTGACAGGTGTTTTACATCCTCCACTTTGATCTCCCATTGCCAGTTGATGCCCATTGTCTCAGCTGGGAAGTTGGCTGTTGATCTCTTACACCAGGCACCCCCCTCTGCTCTTTCTGCTTTCAAGACTTTTCTCCTTCGTTTGACTTTCTGTGCTTTGACTAGGATGTATCCAGATGTCTCTATTTTCATGTATAGTCCTTGGAGTTTGGAGGTGGGGGGCTTTGGGGATGTGTCAACTGGTGTTTCTCCTAACATTTGGGAAAATTTCCACCAATGCTTCTTCTGCTTTTTTTCATCTCCCCATCTCCTCTCTGCTGGTATTGCCGGAGTACATGTGTTGGTGCCTTCACTGATGCCCTATGTTTTTCTGAAGTTATGCCAATTTTATTCATTCTTTTCCCTTTCTTAAGATTGTATAATCTTTTATTACTCCTTTTTTTTTTGTCTTTTTGAGACAGGGTCTCCCTCTAGCCCCAGCTGTCCTGGAACTCACTATGTAGATGAGGCTGGCCTCAAACTCACAGAGATCTGCTTGCTTCTGCCTCCCGAGTGCTGGGATTAACTGTCCTCCAGCTCCCACCTTTCCCTTACTCTCTGCCCATTTCCATTTCCGTACCTTTCCACACTGCTGTTCCCCCTTACTTTCATGTCCCACCTTTAAAGCTTTCCCACCCCATGGCTCCTGTCTTTCTCCTTGGTCTCTTTAGGCACTCACTCCAACTGAAACATGGAAACTCTCCTTCCACCATGTGAGTCCTGGGGATTGAATTCAGGTTACCAGGCTTAGTGGCAGGTGTCTTTACCACTGAGATATCTCACCAGCCCTTGTGTAATCTCTTTGAAAACATATTTTCTTTACTTTGAAGAATTTCATACATGTATGCAATGAAATATGATCATATCTACCCTCATTTCCCCTTCCATCTCCCCCACCCATGTCCCCCAACATGCCACCTCCCAACTTCATGTTTTTAAATAAATGTTAACTCACTAAGTCAGTTAAAGCTGCCCATATGTGCATGGGTGTGGGGCCATCCACTGGAACACGGGAAACCTACCAGTGGCCACACTCTGTAAAAAAAAAAATGGTTCTCCCTCCCCCAGCAGCTATCTACTGCCAATAGCTCCTCAGTGAGGGGGGGCTAGGGACCATCTACCCATCTGTGCTGGAACTTTGACTGGCTCGACCTTGTGTAGGCTTCATGTGGGCCCCGGCAGCTGCTGTGAGCTAATGACTGTATAGCCGTGTCTTGTCCTTTTTGATCCATTTCTCAGCTTTCTTTTCTTTGGAGGAGTCACTGTTACTTTTCTTATGATTCATCAAGCACGGGTCGAGCATATTCATGCCATCTGTGGGGGTCCTTGCTTGCTGAATACAACATCTGGGCTGTCCTCAAAGGTGGTTTCTATGGCCCACTTCCCCTTACTGCTCCATGGATGGGTTGTGCCTTCCTCTTTCTTTTTCATTCTCAACATTAAAACAAGTTATTAATTTCATTTTATGTGTGTGAGTGTATTGCCTGAATGATGTAGCTGTGTTGTGCAATGCCTGCAGAGTTCAGAAGGAGGCATCAGATCCCCTGGAACTGGAGTTATGGACAGTTGTTAGCTGCTATGTAGGTACTGGGAACTGAACCCAGATCCTCTGCAAGAGCAGCCAGGGCTCTTAAACGCTGAGCCATCTCTTTCCAGCCTCCCCATTCTCAACATTTTAGATAGTGAATTATAGCAACTCTAGAGGCTAGTTTTCTCTCCTCCCTTTACACTTGTTTATTTGTGTGTGTGTGCACACGTGTACAGCCCGTGGTGCCTATGGAGGTCAGAGAACAGCCTTTGTTTCCACCACATGGATTCCAGGAAACTAACTCAGGCCATCAGGTTTAGTGGCAAGCCCCTCCACCCACTGAGCCATCTTGCTTGCCTCCCCTCCCTTCTTTTTTTATATTTTATTATTTTATTTTTTATGTGTATGCATGTATTGCCTGCATGTAGGTAAGTGCATCCATGTCGTGCAATGCCTGCAGAGGACAGAAGAGGCCATTGGATCCCCTGGAACTGGAGTTACAGATAGTTGTTAGCTGCCATGTGGGTGCTGGGA